TATTATTATTGTGGAATAAATTAAATTTTAAAAAATATTGTTAAATTCGATTTTTTTAAATAATTAATTTTATAAAAACAATAATGTTAATACAAATTATTATTACATCACAAGTTATATTTTATATTAAACTGAGTAAGTTCGAATTAAACTATATTAAACTAATTAAATTCAAAATAATAATTGAAAAATAAAATTATTTTAGTGTAAAAGTTTGGTGTTTTGGTGTAAATGGGTTGGAGATGAATAAAATTTGGTGTGAGAATATGCTGAGAATATTCCTTCTGATGTGACATTTTGTGTAAAAATATAGTGTTTTGGAGTTGGGTGGGTTGGAGATGAGCGCTCTAACTATTTATTGAAATGCTATTTAAATGAAAATTTTTTTATAAGAACAGAATAATATGATCTTATAATTGTCACCGTTCCATAGATATATAATCATATATTAATTATATATATACATATAACAAAGATATAATTATGCTTGACATATGATATTATTTTATTATTGATGAGGTAATGGACTGGTTAAAGGCCAAATGAACAACTGCAGAAACAAATTATCGTGTGATCAAAACGACGTTGTTTTGATGTTAAAAAAAAAAAAAAAATCTTTGCTCTTCGCGCGTGTTAGAATAATGATCATTCTAGGGTAAGATAATGTATTTTATGAGTTAGAATAATGTACTTTATGTGTTAGAATAATGAAATTTCTAGGGTAAGATAATGCATTTTATGAGTTAGAATAATGTACTTTATGTGTTAGAATAATATATTTTATGATTTAGAATAATGTATAATATACTTTATGTGTTATAATAGTGAAATTTTTTGGGAAAAATAATGTATTTTATGAGTTAGTATAATATACTTTATGTGTTAAAATAATGTACTTTATGTGTTTTTGGATCGTGGTCCACAGAGTTGTGTGGACCGTGAGTCAAAATGTCAATGCTAGATGGGGCAAGAGCAACAATCAGTTAGGTTGTAGAGACAGGGCAAATTTTACTGTGGACCATTGTGCATGTAGCAGTGTGGTCCATGAAGTAAGTATAATTTTAATTACACTTCAGTTTCATTTGACAGCATTGCTATGTTTTTTTCAATTTCATTTTTCACACACACTAGTTTCATTATAACAATACCAAAGTATCATTTTAATTCTACTACAGTTTCATTTGACAATATATATTATTGCATGAGCTCTATTTTGTAGTTTCATTTTCTACACAGACTAGTTTAATTATAGTAGTAACTATTTTAATTATGCTCTAGGTTCATTTGATAATATATGTTATTGTATGACTTTGAATTTTAGTTTCATTATAACAATATTAAAGTATCATTTTATTTATACTACAATTTCATTTGACAATATACGTTATTGAATGAGCTATGTTTTTTAGTTTTATTTTCCACGCACTACATAGTATAACAATTGTTATTCAAGTTACTTACAAATTGGTTAAGGAGATAGACAAAAGATTGCGTGGGTTTAGAAATATTGTTTAAGCAATTATTAGAAACATGATTAATTTATGGTGTTAATTGGCATGGGCAGTGGGCACCACCACTAAGCTGCAAAAAGCAAAGTTAAATTAAAATATGATTGTATATTGTTATCAAGTGCATGTTTTCTTCTCAATTACTTGATCCTCACAAAACTTGTCCCCAAAGCTACAAATCTATAATTATTTTGTGTTAACCATATTCATGGCTAGACAAATGTGCATGGGACAAATGTATTATTATTATTTTTCTAATCTACCACCACTTTATCTTTATCTAATTAATTCATATTGATAACCGTATTTAAAAAGACTCTTTCCATGTGAATTGCTTTATTCATTAAAAAAAAAAAAAAATCAAAACCTAACACTGCCGAGAGCATTGGATAAATGACTAAAATGTGTAGAAGGCCATGAGAAATTCCCAAAATGTGTGCTGACTTTTTTTTTGACAGAAATATGTAAAACTCTTTTACCAGTTGCGTTTTTGAAGCTGTCCCAGCTGTATTTTTTTTTGTTAATTACTTAAAACGCAATTGCGAGTTGCGTTTTTCATGTTGTATACGAAAAACGCAACTCCCAAATGCGTTTTCATGTGACGTATTGAATACGTTTAAACGCATTTGGGAGATGCGTTTTACGTATAATTCTATAAAATACGTAAAACGCAACTCCGAAATGCGGACTTTTTACCGGCGCTAGTCCGCCGGAATTCTGTGAAAAACGCAAGAATGAATTGCGTTTTTCGACTCTGAAAACGATTTCTCCTTTGGAATTATAGGCGGTGCAACCATTGCCATGGAAAACCAAGAATTTCATCCATATCGTAAGTGTTTCTCTTTTTGAAGTCACGTAGTTAGAACAAGAATTGGAAGATGAAGATATCTGAGGATGGATTTTAGCCGCCATTGAAATAGCTAACAAGCAAGCAGATTGAATTGAAGATCCTATATATCAGAGTATATTTTCGTAGAATGAAAAAACTAAACTCAGGCGAGTACACATGCATAAACTCAAGCGGCGGGCAAGGGTATATATAATAATACAGAGTAAGAAAACAGACAAAATTGAAAAAAAAAATGAAGATAAAAACAGAAAGGGACAGACAAAAAGAGAGCATAGAAAGACGCAGGAAAATGGAAAACATTTGACTTGCAACGATGGTTTGAGTGGAATTTGACGACAACCAACGATGCGTTTTACGTTTTCAAATCTGGTTCTCGCCGTCGCCGTGGTTTTCTTCGCGGTTGCCGGAAAGCGCCTGTACAAAAATCCAATAAACACAACTTACTTTTGCGTTTTCGGTATAATACGTAAAACGCAAGAGTAAGTTGCGTTTTTGCCTATATAGTATCCCCTAGAAAACGCATTTCGCGCGGTAATGCGTTTTACGTATACGAATACGTAAACGCAACCACCTCTTGCGTTTTACGGAAATACCGAAACAAAAAAAATACGCCGGGACAACACCAAAAACGCAACTCCCAAAGGAGTTTTGCATATTTTTGTCAAAAAAAAAAAGGCGACATAGTTTGGGAATTTCCCAAGTTTGACTACACATTTTAGTCATTTATCCGAGAGCATTTATAATAGAGTAAATACCCAAAATGGTCCCTCGACTATAGCTAAATTCACAAATTGGTCATCGACTTTCAATTTCAACTAATTAAGTCCTTAACTTTGTAATTTTAACACAATTTGGTCCTTTGTTTATTTGACCGTTTGTTGACTGTGATTTTTGAGGATATATATGTAATTTCATGGTCCATCGTCGGTTTTTTAAGATTCTGGTTGCATTTCCAGAACGCACGGTTACATTTGAATCTGCTGTCAAAAGCAATCTACCAAATCCGGTCGCCTTTCTTCATCGTCCCTTTGGATTCAATGTAGTTGAGTTCGTACCAGAGCGAAAAAGACGATGTGTTTCCGAACCAGTGCAACGTCATCCTGGAGGTCTTCACGTGCTCCGACGAGAGCTGAAGGTTCTTCTGGAGATCGTCGATCACAGTCAACAAACGGTCAAATAAATGGAGGACCAAATCGTGTCAAAATTACAAAGTTAAGGACTTAATTGGTTGAAATTGAAAGTCGAGAACCAATTTGTGAATTTAGCTATAGTTGAGGGACTATTTTGGGTATTTACTCTTTATAATAGTTATGAATTTTTGTTTCTGAGGACTTTTTGTAAGTGTGATTGAGAAAGAGAATATGAGAGGAAGAAAAAAAATTGATTTAAAAAAAAAAAAGTGAGTAAATGTTAGAGCCTTTGTCAACGCCTGTAACGCGCCCAGCTGGGCGTGGTGCGTTTCCCGCACGCGTAGACAGAGGCAAGGCTTTGCTTCAGCAGTCAAACTTTGGATTCCACAAAAATCACTTAATTTGCCAGAGTTATTTTTGTCAAAAAACCTCACTCCACATCAGTAAAAATCACTACTTACTTTTTTCTACTGTTCCAAAAACTGAGTGGCTCTAAATCTATTTGAATCATAAGGGCATCCATATTACTTCAATATATTAGATTTTTATTTTTTAGGTTTTTAAACATGTGGAGGCGAGATGAGGAGAGGAGAGAAAGAAAAAATGGTGTGGAGTTGGGTTTTTGTGTTAGAAATGAACCAAAAAAAAAAAAAAAAAAAAACAACAACAACGACTCCATCATTCGTGGGCATGACAAAGCGCTCTCAACAAGCATGTGAAAGTGTGTCAGGGTGACCCGTAACCGCCACTACTATGTTTTCTCTTTCTTCTTTAAAAGAATTTATTACTTTTCTCTCTCCTACTTGACATCTTAGCTTAAAGTTCACAAAAAACCTATATTATTTCGATGTTTCCACTAATGTTTCTCTAAGGTGTTGGTAAATAATTTGATAAAATTTATGACATTGGTTTGGTCCAAAGAGGCACAACCTATCTCTTGGGGTCAATGATGTGCAAAGCTTGACATGAGCAAAGAGATCTCTCAATTGTTCTCTTAAATCTGTAACGCAAACAGACATAAAAAAAGATCTGTACGTAATTGATAGTTATAAGTTATATAAACTTACAAATTAACTATGAGTAACTTGTACTATTTATTATAACATAAATACCTTTCATTTATGAGGAAAATTGGAAAAGAGAACTGACTATAACTCTCAAAATCCATTTATCTATATTTAGAACAAACTATAGATCCGATCCTTCATTTGAAAAAGTAAAACAGCAATACCTCTATTGATCTTGAATTGATGGTTCCTTTCATCCTTTTCTTCCACTTATCCTTGTTTTATGATGGCATTAAACTTATTCGCAGAATATCTTTGATGTCTTAGATTAACTGTAGTATCAAACAATAACTGAATATTAAATTAACCAAATCAAAATACAACTTTTAGGTGCTGGAAAAATTTTAACCAGAGTTTTAAAACACAATAAAAATAAAGAAAAGAAAGAAAGAAAGAAAGTGAAAAAGAAAAAAAAGTGATGGAGAATAGATGCTATTTCATTACAAAACCCTGGGCGCCATTGGCACACGTATCAAGCACTCATAGGTTATGATTCTCTTCCTTCTGTTCTGTTAACCCTAACGGACTTCACCTATATCGAAGCACTCTCTCTCTCTCTCTCACTACTAATATACTCACATGGCTGCTGCTACTGCCCGTATCAATTTAAATACTCAGACTATCAAACCTAAACGGCGTCGTTACCGTGAAACCACCATTACTGCCACCTCCGCCGCCTCAGATTCCGACGCGCTTTCTTCTTCTTCTTCGGCTTCTGATATATTGAGTCAGAGTGAGTTAAGTCAGGGCCGTACGCTTGACACTGCAACTGTTGTATCTTCTGAGAACTCCTGGTGTTGCTCGGCTGCAACCGCGAAACACTCCGCCGCGCCGCCGCCGATTTCTGCTTCGTCGTCGCCGGTGCAGTTACAGTCGGATCTCAAGATCCGGTACTCGCCGAGTGCATTGCCTAACGTTATGGATTCCTTGTCCACCGCCTCCTCGGTAGTATACGGCGGCGCGCACGCCGGCTCGCCGGCCTACCACGACGCGTTCCCGTCGTCTTTTAGCAAATTCAATTCTGCGCTCACGGCCGGCCTTCTTAATCCAATGTCGCCTCCTCCTCCTCCTCCGGGGGATAAGGCGCGGGCGAGCCCCACGCTTTTCGAGATGATGGCGAGCGAGCCGGATTGCCTTCCCAGAACGGCTCCGGCTCCGGTTCCGGCTCCGCAGATTCAATACGGCGTCACTTCTGCCCAAAATCAGAAGCCCAGCTCGGCGCCAGTACTGGACAAGCAGGCCTTAATGCAACAGCGGCTTTTGGATCTTTTGGCCTGTCGAAGTCCTGGAAATCAGTTCAATGATTCTGCCTCCAGTGACGTGAAGCTTACCTTGAGCTCAAAGGATGGCTTAAGCGTTTCAATGAATGTTCACCGGCAGATCTTACTCGCCCATAGTCGGGTTTTCGCCGTGAAGTTGTCGGAAAAATGGGCTAAGCAGCAGCACCAGAAGAATTCAGCTCCATACATTGTAGAGATTGCTGATTGTGATGACATTGAGATTTATATTGAGACTTTGAGGCTAATGTATTGCAAGGATTTGAGGAAGAAGCTCATGAAAGAAGACGTTCCTAGAGTCCTTGGAATATTAAAGGTAAGGTTTTATGCTGATAACTTCTTTTATACAAATTTAAACCGTTTATGTGTCAATTTATCATTGGAAAGACATTTTTGTGGTAGGTAACAGTCGTTAAACTATTTTATGGAAACTTAACCAGTTATAGGCGTTTATATCATTTCATAGATCATCAAAACAAAAAAAAAAAAATTCGGGAAAGGTTGATGTTTGATTATGATCATCAATTAAGCTAGAAACTTTTTTTTAATCTTTGTCATTTTTTTGGGGGGCATTTTCTATGCATCATATCTTGTTTATAGCTCCAAAAATGTTGCTCTGTATCTATAACTAATGAAATTATGTTGATTCTTCTTCATCTGTTGGTGGTTTGAAACACTGAATTAATTTGTAATAAGTTACAAAGTATTCTGTATTTCATAAAGGGATCGTCTTGGATATTCTGTACACAGTTCCAGTATAGTAAAATTTACTTAGATATCTGGGCTCCTGCTAATAATGGTGGTATCATATAGGTTTCGGCTGCAATTGGGTTTGATGCAGGGGTTTTATCATGTTTGGAGTACTTAGAGGCTGCCCCCTGGGCTGAGGATGAGGAAGAAAAGGTGGCTTCAATGTTGTCTGAGCTTCGTCTTGATGGAGTTGGAGCTGGGGAAGTTTTAAAGAGAGTTTCTCTTGACACTATGGGCGGGACACAGGATGGGTCTGGTAATGAAGAAGTGCTTCTCAAGTTATTGCATGTAGTTCTTGAAGGGAAGGATGAGAAGGCAAGGCGAGAAATGAAAAGCTTAGTGTCGAAAATGCTGCATGAGAATTCATCTCAAAGTGATTTGAGGAAGGAGTCTCTGTATTCAGCTTGTGATGCATGTTTGCAGTTACTCCGCCACCATTTTTTTAGGGCAGCAAAGGGAGACTTGAAAGAAGCTAGTCAGATTTCTCGGCAGGCTGATAATTTGAATTGGATTTTGGATATTTTGATAGATAGACAGATTGCTGAAGACTTTTTGAAGACTTGGGCTTCTCAGTCTGAATTATCTGAGGCACATTGTAAAGTGCCTGCTATTCACAGACACGAGGTTAGCAGAGTTACGGCAAGGCTGTTTGTTGGTATTGGGAAAGGGCAACTGTTAGCTTCCAGGGATACCAGGTGCTTGCTACTGCAGACATGGTTGGTTCCATTCTACGAGGATTTTGGATGGATGAGGAGAGCATCGAAAGGCCTTGATAGGCATTTAATTGAAGATGGACTCAGCAGTACAATTTTAACTCTACCTATGGCTTGGCAACAGGAAATTTTAATGGCCTGGTTTAATCGGTTTTTGAACTCTGGTGATGACTGCCCAAATATTCAGAGAGGATTTCAGATCTGGTGGAAAAGGGCTTTCTGGAGGCGGAATGGTGAGGCTGAGCGGCCCTGTCAAATGCGCGTTGTGACTGCAGCAATTGAAAACAAATGAATTTCACTGCTCAATGAAATGATGATGGGGGTTGTGGTCAAGATGTGATTATTATTTCAATTCTTGCTACTTCTACATGGCCTTCAAATGCGCGTTCTGAGACAGTATTGAATTGGCTGTGCAAAATTTTTCAGGGATGTTATTGTTGCTATTCAATAAATTCCCACGATTGATCTGGTAGAAGAAAGACAGTGTTCTTTGCAAATGATAGTGAACGAAGAGAGATTGATTCTGTTCAGATATTGACCTTTCTCTTTCACTAGGTTTTGGAATCAGTTTTTAGGCCTATTAGAGGTTTCCTTCTGTTTGTTTAAATTTGAGCATATTCTGAATTCAGAGTTTTCCTCTTGAAGATAGTTTTTGTATATTAATACATGAGTAATATAGATCTTGGCCTCTTGGGGAGACAGTCAAGTCAATCTTGGGTAAGGTTTGTAAGTATATTAGATATTTATCTGTTGTGAAAGTTCAGAATGGTAATCATTACTTTTGAAGGTGACAATGACATACATTATGGCTATTTATGAATTTATCTATATGAGTTGTCTCAGCTTTATGAATGCAATATCTTCCCTCCCAAGGGTGTTTGTCTAGCTTACCTGGTGAATTATCTTTTCTCCTATTGTTTTGCATGAAATAACTAGACATTAGATGTCACTTCCTGTGCTATTTTTCAATTGCTAGCTTTTAAAGATTTTGGTACTGAGCTGATGTTACACTTTGAACCTGTGCTATTCTGATCTGCAGGAACTAGAAGTAGTTTCTGCATACCAGAAAAAGATTGTAAACTTTGTGCTGCAGATTTGCAGGTAAGAAATTTACAGTAACAGGTGCCATAATATCTGCTTTGTTTTAATATGATGTGTTGGAAATAGTTTACCAACTGTTATCATCCATAAGGTATACTATTGCCTTTTCTTGTGTTGTGTCCTAGGTAGGTAAAATGATGGATATTGATGTTGTGTTAGAGTGTTGTCCTTTGGGACCTACTTCATGAAGGGTAATCATGGAAAAGCATGTGGGATTGTGGGTTTTGCTGATGATTTAGTTTCAAGTATGATCAGTCAGTGTTCTGTGATAGATATGAGGAGTAAGTACCCTTTACACCTTTCTCTAGTCTACTTTCTCTTGTCCTCCTGATTGCTTTGACTCCCTAGTAATGATGACAAAATGGGTTCCCGGAGTAATGGAGTATTCCATGGTGCTGCTATGGGATTTTTTAGCACTGATTTTGGATTAAGCAGTTGTTGGGACTCATAATTCTCATTTTAAGTGATTATTGGGACTTGTAACCTTAAAACTTATAATATATCACTTACATAACGTTTAGTTCACGAAATAAATTTGGAAGGAATATGAATGCTATTCCACGGGGAATGGAATAGGTACGGAATAGAATAGGAATTGTATTCTGTTGTTTGGTTGGCTGAAGGAATAGACTTTAGTAATTGTATTCCAGTGTAGAAATGGAATAGGTTTTAAAGACATAAATACTCCTATACAAAATAATAATAATAATAATAATAATAATAATAATAATAATGATATACTGAACGTTTTATATATATATATAGGGATGCACTTAGGTGCGAATAAGTGTCTAGGAAGGAATATGCGAACAAATCAGCACGCGACACGTGTCCAAATTTAATAGCTTAAAAAAACGCTGTGGTATTTTCGTAAATAATTGAACATCGAAGTGCAAGTAAAATCACTTACAAGTGCACTTACTTTCACCTATGCGTGCATGTAATTTTGTCTTGTTAACATTCACTTCCCGCAAACATTCATGCACCTGGACGCACCTACTTATAACTATAGGTGCAACTATTTATAACTGTAGGTGCAACTACTTATAACTATAGGTGCACCTATTTTCACCTATAGGTGCGTGTAATTTTGCCTTGTTAACATTCATTGATCTGAGTTCAGCGGGTAGTAATACCTTTGAAAACCACCCGCAAACATTCATGCACTTAGGTGCAATTACTTATAACTATATGTGCAACTACTTAGAACTATATGTGCAACTACTTATAACTATAGGTGCAACTACTTATAACTATAGGTGCACTTAGTATTGATGTTCAGTATAAATTTTTACTTGCACCTATAATACATTTTACATGCACTTCGATGTTCAATTATTTACGAAATTGCCACCTCGTTTTTTTTTTTTTTTTTTTAAATCAGTGTTTCTCATCCATTAGATCTGGACACGCGGACGGACAGAATTCATTCCTATTTCGTGTCTTGGCGAAGCATTCGCACCTGAGTGCGATTATATATATATATATATATATATATATATATATATATATATATATATATATATATATATATATATATATATATATATATATATTTATGGATAAAAACTATAATTAATTAAATATATACATTTATATAATACATTATATTATTAAATAAATATAAATATTATATAATGTGCAAAGGGTATCTTTGGTATTTGTGATATAAAAGCTATTCCCAAAGGTATGGGAGTAGCTAATACCAAGGCCCCCCTAGGAATCGTTATTCCCCTTGTGAAAGTAATAGCTCATTCCTAGACATGTTATTCCCATGACAAAATGATCCAACCAAACGATGGAATAGGTCTATTCTAAGGAATGCTATTTCATTCCTGACCTATTCCATGAACCAAACATACCATTATTGTTTCGAGTATGCTTAAGTAACACAAACTCCACCCACTTGTCAACAACGGTTATATCATGGACCCGGATCCCCTAGGAATCGTTATTCCCCTTGTGAAAGTAATAGCTCATTCCTAGACATGTTATTCCCATGACAAAATGATCCAACCAAACGATGGAATAGGTCTATTCTAAGGAATGCTATTTCATTCCTGACCTATTCCATGAACCAAACATGCCATTATTGTTTCGAGTATGCTTAAGTAACACAAACTCCACCCACTTGTCAACAACGGTTATATCATGGACCCGGATCCACTTTGCAAGGTGCACCTAAATTCAAAATACACAATTTAGGTACTGAATGTTTACAATTTAAATTGTGAACATTTAGTATGTAAATTGTGAGCATGCAGTATGTAAATTGTGTATTTTTGGACTTGAGTCTATAGAATAATTTACCACTTACCAGTCTCTATTCTCTAATTGCCACGGTAGCCCACACTGATTGGACGGGCAAATTATACTGTAGACCGTGGTTCACAATGCATTGTGGTACATGCATCAAAACAGTGTCGTTTCTTTTAATGAAAAGAAACGGCACCCGTTTCGCAAAAAAATAACTCTGTTTGTATAACATATTTAGTTTCATTTTATACACCGCAGTTTCATTTCAACACCAACTACAATTTCATTTCGATATAACTATAGTTTCATTTCGATATAACTACAGTTTCATTCGACATTATACACACAAATATGTGAAACTGTTATTCAGTTTCATTTTATATAAACTATAGTTTAATTACAATACAACTACAGTATCATTTCAATACAACTACAGTTTGACTAGACAATATACATCCAAATATGTAAAATTGTTATTCAAATTCATTTTGTATACACTGGTAGTTTCATTTTAATACAACTACATTTTCATTTCAATTCAATTCAGTTTTATTTGATAATTTTAAAAACAATATGTCAAACAGTTTCAGTTTAAATACACTGTAGTTTCATTTTATAATTAGTACACCAAAAAATACACGCTCCGTTAAGCTGTAACGGCTACTTTTTTTTTTGGCACAAGTGTCAAATAGGCCTATCTACTACTTCGAAGTGCTCAATTTCCCCATCAACTAAAATATAATCTAATTGAACACACTTATCTCTAAAAAATTGTCAAAAAACTTTTTTTTACAGGTTGCCACCCCCACTGCCGATATGTAATTTTATTTAAATAAAAATGGTGATATGGAATTTACTTTCTAATCTCCAGCCAAAACTGTTGATCCTGTTGCTACGCCGGAGAGGAGCTAGCTCTGCCGCTGATAAGCTTCGCCGGAGACGCTGCACTGCACCACCGGGAGAAACAGAGGAGGTTGCCGGTCGTTGATCTGCCCAGCCGCAGCCACCTACTTGTCGAGAGACAGCCGATGCTACCAAGCTTCACCTTGCTCACAGCCGCCGACAACCGAGAAGGGGAACACCACCATGGATGCCGTCCTTCAGTTCTTGAAAAATAGGGGGTGTCGATCCCCCATTTTGGCACAACTTAATGCAGATTAATGGATTGAGCTTTTGGCACAACTTACAGGGTTTAAGGAGTGACAGAACCAAACCCATTCAATATCAACAGGAGGGAGAATCATGGGGGGTGTCGATCCATTTGTGAGGTCATATATATCAAGGGCATCTATAGCTGATTATATCTGCACATATATCAATATAATGCATTTACTAATCATGTGATCCTAAGAGTCTGTGACTTCTCTCCATCAGTCTTTCTTCATCTTTTCATCTTTGAAGGGTAAATATAAAGTTAAAAAAATATTCTGACGATAAACTATAATGCATGCTTTTGATCTACCTAGTTACACTTGTCCATAATTGCTTCTCTCAGACTTGACGGAAGATCTATAATTACACAAGTACACTTCTAACCAAAAAAAAAAAAAGAACATTTTAAGCATGTTTCCCATACGATTTGCTAAGACTGTTTTTCCTTTGATATTCCACCAAGTGTGATTAACACCATGCTAATTTTGGTGTTCAACTCATATTAAACATTCACATATGTTGTTAATTGTAACCCAAGTCTAGTGTGTATATGATTAAAGTGTTGTAGTAGTAATCAGGGAAATGAAAAACCTTCCACCAAACTCCGGTCATTCTTGAATCCATTAGTGGCAGCTGGGCAGATCGACGACCGGCGACCTCCTCTGTTTCTCCCGGCGGTGCAGTGCAGCGTCTCCGGTGAAGCTTATCAGCGGCAGAGCTAACTCCTCTCCGGCGTAGCAGCAAGATCGACAGTTTTGGCTGGAGATAAATTCCACATCATTACCATTTTTATTTAAATAAAAATTACATATCAGCAGTGTGGAGTGGCAACCTGCAAAAAAAGCTAATTGATAAATTTTTAGTGGTAAGTATGTCCAATTAAATTATGTTTTAGTTGATGGGGAAAATTGAACACTTCAAAGTTGACACTTGTATCTTTTTTTTTTTCTTTTTTTTTACTTAAAAAATAGTGCGGTTTTTAAACCATGGTCCAGGCCCACGATATAATTGCTGGATTGGACTAACATAGTTTATACGTGTTCTCTAAGTATGGACTGTCTATCTCTGCCTCTCTGGTGAAATTCACAGTCCATAATTGTCACCAACAAAGCTTCCAATAGCGACTAATATTCCCATAAGTTGGGCTTGCCATTTCTTTGGGTCACCATATTATAATGACAATTGACAACTCACATCTTTACCCAAACAATTTGGATTCAATCGTTATGCCATGGAACCGTATTCACCATTCATGGTGAGCACGGTCCCAAATAATAACAGTGCCTACGGACACTGTTATCTTCCATTAATTTTTTTTTTTTTAATTAACAGCGTGACTTTTTTTCTTCATATTCACGTTTTG